TATAACTAATACAAGAAAAACTATCTTCAATAAGTATATGCAATATACAGTCAAGATTACATTAACAATGTCTAGTCCATTAACATTTGACAGATCTAGACAAAAAACTCCATTATATATATTAACAATGTCCAGTCCAGTAACATCTGATAAACTCAGACCAAAAAATTTTCATTACTTATCCTATTTAAAACAAGTAGTTCCTTTTTAAAAGTAGATTCCAGTTCTGAGCTAAGTTTGGAGGATGGTCAGAAAGATGCCAAGCAACAGGAAGACATCTCAAGGAAGCACAAGACTAAAGCTATTCATACATTCAGTGCATTCGCTCAAATGCACGGGAACTTAATTTCTATTTTCCTTCCTTTCTTCTCCCGTCCCGTTTACCCGTGGCAGGATCTACTACATTCCTGGAAGCAAATACGTAGTTTGTCCTAACTGGCTTCTATCCCGGCAAGGGCGGTGCGACTCCGTATTTCTCCACACGCCCCCTTTGATCATAATCCGAGGCATCTTGGCGGCGGGGTGTCGCGGCCAGAGGCCGAGAGGAGCTTCGGGAAAGTAGTAACGGCGCTCCGGTCACGGGGCGCCAAGAGGCCACTTCCTCCAGGAGCGACCTTCTCCCAACTCTGACTCTTTTGCTAAGCCTTTGCTGGGACTTGGGACCTGCTGGTAGAAGCTGAGGCCACTCCAGATCTGGGAAGCCCCCAGACATCTTAACTGAGGCTGTACCTCTCTTCATGGCTTCGCCCTCTGGAGAGCAGCCTCACTGGGATATGGAGGGTAGCAGGAGAATGAAGTGAGGACACTCTTCTTCTGGGGTTCCTGCATGCTGATGCAGGCCATGAAACAGAGAGGGCATCCCCTTCCTCTCTTGGTCACAAGTGTGATAGAAAAGGCATCACTATCCTAGGGATGTGAGTCCTTCCATTAAATGCCACTCGCATTGTTCTGATTTGGGTGCTGAGGGGACCTGGAATGATACTGGGATGGTAAGTCCCTGATGGGCACACATTTGCTATGCAGGAGAATGTTTAGGATTTGGAGGACAAGTGGACTCAATGCATGCAAAATTATCCACTAATGTCCTCTGAACCAGACTTTGCTGGTTGTGCCATAGTGGTGCCGTGCCCTGATGGTCGAGGAAATCCTGAAGACTCCCTGCATTTTGATGGGACCTTTTCTAAGTTGGATGTTTCCTGTGGTCCTACACCAGTTGCCGCCTGCCTTCTTCCCTGGTCCACACTCCATCCTGCTCTGTACAGAGGCTGGGACGTACGGAGGGAATAGCTGGGTCCCTGTGGCCAACAGCGGTACTGGCAGGGACGGGAGGAGAGGTGGTGTAGGTGATTCTTCCTGGCCCCTGACCTGTTAGCAATGGCTGTACCTTTCGCCATGCTGTCTCTTGGTTCCAGCCATGACCCCAGTCACTCGCTCTCGTAACCTTGTGTGCTTCCCCAGCTCCTTCAGTTACAAGTTGTAACTGAAGGGACTCTAGCCAGCCCAAGCATGGTAAACATGGCTCTGGCAGGCCTTGCCCTTCTCCCCCACTCCCTCTGCCTTGCTAAAAACCATTAGATGATGTTCCTAAAGCTAGACACCAAGGTCTACTTCCTTATTGGACCACTTCCTCCTCCTGAGGCTGCCTACCAAGGTCCAGCAATCAAAGCATTGAAGTCCAGCAATCAAAAGCCCTCTTTTGTTTACTTATTTAACATGCCCAATTAAAATTAAACACCTCATCCTAACACAGGGTTTCCCCTAGTACCTTTATAAACTGCCATTGTCCTATGGGTCACATCTGTCTCCTCTTTATCCAGAGGCTGGGGAGGAAGTGGTGGCCAGGGTTGTCAGGCTCCCTTGTCTGTTCCTCAGGGAGAGTGGCCTAGACTCTGTGAGTCACATCCAAATCTGCTCAGGCCATATTGTTAAAGCCCCCTTAAGGAAAAAAACCCTCCTCCTCCTTTCTCTCTCCTCCAGAGGTAGTGGGCACCTCCCTCTCTCTCCCTCTCTTTCTATCTCTCTCTCTCCTTCCCTCCATTTCCTCTCCCCTCCCACCAAAATAAACTTTCCAGGTGGATAGCCCATCTGCCATGTGATTAACTTTCCATTGCGTCATGCTGCCTTCTGTGGTGTCTGCATGGTGTGTGCCTCACCCACCACCAGGCACCATAGTCCACACCCACCAGGCCTCTCGTGCACCATTTCACGACATTAACAATGGATTCCTGGCCTCCACACACAGACATGAGCATGCAAAAGTAGATAGGATTTTGATTTTCTACTTGCTGGTTTTTAAGGGCTTTATTGGGGTACTGTTGTGTAACAGACTTTTCCTGGGGAGGTGCAATACACATCTATTCACCTCAGAAAGGGAGCCTGTGACAGACCAAAGTAATGATCATACCAACGTTCAATTTGGTGAACCAATGACGGTTTTGTTATTAAATAATTTTATTTATTTATTTCTGTGTATATGTAATGTCTGCATATGACGAGGACAGAGGGTGTCAGATCCCCTGGAGCTAGAGTTACGGGCAATTGTGAGCTGCCTGAAGTGGGTGCTGGGAATTGAACCCGGGTCCTCTGCAAGAGCAGTATGTGCTCTTAACCACTGAGCCATCTCCCCAGCCCCGTTGGTTTGTTTTTTAAATTGGGGTTACTAACAGGAGTATGAGTGAGGGGTTACTTACAAGAAGACGGTATGGCTCAAAAGCAGCTGCATCACCAGAAAGCGCCCCCCACCCCGACTCCCAGCATGGGCGACAACTCAGGAAAGCTGTAATCCTGGAACTGTCTAAGCAGCGGGCAGACATGCTGATCATCTCTCTTCCCCACAGTCTGCCTGATCCGAGTCTCTACCCCCAGCAGCTGTTTACTCCTTTTTATCTGGCTCAGTCGGAGCCTTCAAGAATCTCTCAAGCTGTGGCTTTCTCATTTGTTTGCCTCCTGGAGCCTCTCCTTCCTTTCTGGGGCAAATGTTTCAATTTGGAGAGAATGTTGCAATCCAACAGGTACACTTTACATATCATAAAACCCACCCCATTTTTCAGTGTACAGCTGAAAAACTGTTCCTTTTTAAAGAAGGGCAGACTGTTTTTAAAGCATCTGTTGGTTTACAGCAAAATGGAACAGAAGGTACATGGGTTTGCCACGTACCCAGCAGACATGGGACCAGCCTTTCTCACTATCCGAGTCACACCACCCGGTACATTTGTTAGACTCAGTGTGCCTGTGCAGATACATCTTCATCACCCACCCTCCGTGGTTGGCCTGAGGGCTTACTCTTGGGATTTGTTTTCTTTCTTTTTTTTTTCTTTCTTTTTTTTCTTTTTCTTTTTTTTGGTTTTTCGAGACAGGGTTTCTCTGTGTAGCTTTGTGCCTTTCCTGGGACTCACTTGGTAGCCCAGGCTGGCCTCGAACTCACAGAGATCCTCCTGCCTCTGCCTCCCGGAGTGGGCTTTCTAGAGCAATGGTTCGTAACCTTCCTACGGCCACAACCCTTTAATACAGTGCCTCGTGTTGTGGCGAACCCCAACCATAAAATTATTTTCATTGCTACTGCGTAACTGTTTTGGACCCCAAAGGGTTTGGCACCCATAGGTGGAGAAATGCTACTCTACAGGAACTGTGAGGGCCAAAGTTAACCTGTAAGGCCCATTTGTCCAAGGACAGATAACTTCCTGGAATGCTGGAGGCTATTGTTATGGGCAATAACAAATCACATGTTTTTGCTCCCCTAAACAAATTTGTTTAACTCAACTGCTTGGGATGTACTTGATCACATGTGGGCAGGAGGTACATGGTCAGGAAATACATCGGGATGTACATTTGCCCCTAATTGGATGTAGGCGGGAGATTCTCAGGCAGGAAGTACATCAGGATAAATGCTTGCCTCTAATTAGACCTAATGGGAAATGTGGTGGCCTCATGGTTTTGCCTTTCTAAGCCTCTGCAAAATGTGACTCTTCTCCATTTCCTGGGAATCCTGGAATGGTTCTGGCAAGAGCGCATCATCCTGGCCAGTATTTAATTAAAGCTTGCTTCAAATTTGACTCCAAAATTGTGGAACTGGACTTTTGCTTGTGAT